TTTACTCACAAAACATAACTTTAGTTTAAATCTACTAATTGCAGTCAAAACTCTATGTATGCCATTTGCTCATTTTTTTTTCTATCTAGATGTTTTCTTTTGGCTTGTACCAGAGAATGGATGTTAATTGTAGCTGTTGGAATAGCTTTCTATGTGCAACAAGCCATCAATAAAACTGTATATAAAGTTCTGCTTTATGTTCAGTAATTAATTGATTCTTTCATACTGACAAATGCTGGTGACTTTCTTAATTAAATCGTGCAAGTTATGGAAATTGCATTGTCAGTTTGTTTATTCGTGTATGAAATCCATCTGGCGCTGTTTAATATTTTCCTTCATAATGTAGTTTTTTAGAAAAAAAAGCAACAGTTTGGGTGAAACCAGACAGTTATAGAAGAGATTATTGAATTTGATTCAGCTTGAAGACTACATTTCGCCAGGTTGATAAAGCTCCATTTTCTTATCTGCAAAGTCAAAATCTTATGTATGAATTTTTTTAATTGGACAAACTGAAAAAGGTATGGGATGCATTAGTAGTGTTCTGGTTTTATTTTTCTGTAATAAAAATGAAAGGTGGTTTGTTCTGAATCTGCACCAGTGTGAAAATTCTCCCTAATCCACTTGCTTAGGAAAAAATATGCATACACCACACCCCTCACGATAGATTTGGAGGAGATTTCAAAATAATCTAGATAAGTGTAAATGGAGAAGAACCTGAGATAAATCCAATCAACTGCAGGTTTTTTAACCATTTTAACTCATGCATTTGCCATAATGAAGAGAAAACTGAAGAAAGCCAGTAAAAGAGCTTGTTAATGAGCTGTGTCCTTAAGTATATCATGTGATCATCTTAAGGCGTCATTAACAAAAAAAACTTGAAAGACAAGCAACAATATCAGATTTCAATAGAAGAGGGTTGAACTGTGATGTCTTAGCATTTGGTGGTTTGCTTATAGACCTTTCATTACCTGACTAGATAACATCATCGGTGCTAAACTGTTTTCCGAATCTGACAACTATGCATGTTTCCAATAGAAGAAAACATATGTGGCTTAGGGCTGAACTGTGGAGTCCTTGGTGTTGTCTGAACTTCGTTGTTTGCTTGCAGCTGTTTCATTACCTGATTAGGGACCATATTTTGCAACCCCCCCCCCCAAAAAAACCCCAAGCTTAAAGAGCCCTGAGGAATCCATAATACCAGATTTTCCTGAATGAAAACAAATTTTTATCTATTGTTTTGATTCAGGAACTGAAGCAGTCTTTGGTGAGAACTTGATATAAAACACATATTGGTTCATCTAGTTCCCTTAGTGGAACCTTGATACTATTTATTATGGCACCTTTTGTGAAATCTTCAGCTGAAATGAAATCTGCAAAGCCTCACTAATGCAGAATTTTGTAACTCTAACAGAAATAAATCAAGAATTTTGGTATCTTTCTTCATATGGATTTTAACTAGATTTAATTTGAAATGGGTGTAGATGGGTGAAAAACTCACAGTGCCATCCTCTTCCTCTAATGTGGATTTTGTGATGTTTTTCTCAGAAACCTTTGCCTGAATCATTTAATTTAATCAATACCACAAAGGTCACTATCTCTTCAGTTTGTCGGCGATGATTATTGTTAAGAGTTCATCCCAATTCTGTTAAAATCACACTTTACAAAGGCAACAACACTTTTCATTTTGAGATATTATTGGCTGAAAAAATAGTTATTCGATAATTACTAAAAGGCAATGTCAACAATTTGCTGTAAAACATAGATTTAAATATATGTATCCTTTTTTTTTTTTTTTTTTGCTGATAGCCTGAGGAGATTGTGAATATTTATAAATTGCTGGTTAAATACTTTAAAGCAGTGATTATCTTAACATGAACAAATTGTAAGGTAATTGGATATGAAGGACATAGAAATTGAAAGCTGGCGAATTTAACCAGGCAGGATGATTTCAAAATTTACATTTTATATTCAGACCCAAGCATAGGTAACCTTTCTGTCACCTGAAAATGTCATTTAAACAATCTCTCTAAAGAATAGGGGGAAAATTATTGAGACCCTCTCCTTTAGAGAGGGATTGAAAAGTTCCAAATACTCAGTAAATGTGTTCTTTGAGTACTATATTGTTGTATAGTGCTGTACCTTGGATCCAATTAATATCTCTGTAGATTAAACTGTTCTTTTGGATACAGAGCAAGGCAAGAAAAATTATTGTCAGTGGCGTTTAAAAAAAGAAGTAGCTGCATTTTGTTAAAGACCAGTTTTTGAAAATATCTAAAGGAAAAAAATGTGTATGTGCACAGACTGTCATCGTACATATATGACCTATACTTTTTTATGTTGTTATTCTTTGTCATTCCTTGAAAGTGTAGTATATGTTGCTAATTATTATTAGGAAAAAAGATTATACATGAATACATAATTATAGAAAGCTTCACTAGATTTTTCTTGTCATTTCTTTTTAAAGTAAAGAGTTTGAACCCCCTGCCCCATTTACTTGCTACATATTTATCTTTGTTACTAGATAGATTGAAAACAATTTTATTTGAATTAATGATGTCCTACATCAGGAATGGCAGTATACTTTGTAACCGAACAGAACTTTTTGCAATGGCATAAACTGATTACTTCATTTTTTTCTGAGGCATATGGTTTTGGTTCATTTGTTGAATTGTATTTTGATTGCAGCTAATTATATTGAGAACAAGTATCACTATAAGTCCTTATTAAATCAATATGGCTGTTCTTCCTGTATGCATCATATAATCATTTTCACTGTCTGCTTGAATAACGAGAAATGATTTTAAGAGTGAATTGTCCTATTTTATTCTAGAAATATTGCCCAACATTAATGCTTGGTATATTTCTCCCAATATTAAGCAATGTTTGAGACATGTATGGACTTCCTTGAAATTCCTTGTAGATAAGGATCTGTAGATAAGTATACTGAGTTTAAAGATGTTTGTTGATTGGTAAATACTTATAGGGATATAAAACATTCTATAGGCCCCTGGCTACAATGTTTGTATGATAGTACACCCACGGTCCTATTAGGCTTAATCACAGCCCCATATCTTTGAGGGTACTACTTTCATTATCATCTTACGTCTAATAAAGACCTTAATATAAAGCTGTAAGGCATAGATTGGAAGATGCGGAAATACCTTAGTATATCTGGAATATGTTAAAAAAGCTAAGGTATATTGGATTACAGCAAGTGAACAAGAAAATGAATCACATGAGATTTTTCAAAAAGCTTTAAACATTAACTGTCAGCCCTTCAAGTAGTCCAGACAAGAAGCACAAACCATGAGTATAACACCAACTTTTTTTTAAACAGAAGATAGTGTTGATACAAATTACAGAAACAGAATCTTGCAAATCTGAAAGCATTTCTCAAAGCTTTTACTTTTCAGCAAACCAGGGAAAGTCTTCTCTGAAATGGATCCCACGCCCCTTTTGTTTCTGTGGGTTATCTTTTGCATGATTGTTGTCTAGTGTGGCTCTTCCTCCTGTCTCCCAAGGTCATTCCCACATACCCTCACATTAATATCTTTATTTTTGTCTATAATAACATTTTCATATTAGCTGTTATAACTATACCAGTTATAACTATAGCTATAACAGCTGTATTATAGGTCAGCAAGATTTGAGTAGACAGTTTAAAGAGAAAAGCAAAGAAAACTCATGTCCCTTAATATAGACTTGACATGTTATTGCTTCTATCCTTCATCAGTAGCTTCTCATCTCATCTCTCTTGCTTGCCCAGTTGACCTTTCTCCTCCAAAAGAGAAAAAAAATATTATTTTCTCCCTTTTTTAGCTGGATCAGATTGACTAGATTCACTTAGCTGAACTTCTGCCTATAATGTGCAATTTCAGCTTCATCTCTGCTGATCTTCTTGGCTATAGCTGTTATTTGCTGCTTATTATTTCCAGTGCTTCTTTGATTTTCCTTGTTTCTTAGTCGTATTTCTTAATCAGGTATTCTTTGGCCTTGTTCTTAAAACTTCTTTTCTTTCATCTATTCTAGCTTACTTGCATCAGATCATAGTTTACTGGTCTTAATTTCCAACCCCCATTTTGGGGGTGCACTGTTTTGACCTGTTTTGTTCTTCATTGGGTTTTTTTGTTTTGTTTGTTCTTTTGTTGAGCCATGATGGCGCAGTGGTTAGAATACAGTACTGCAGGCTACTTCTTCTGACTGCTGGCTGCCTGCATCTTGGCAGATTGAATCTCACCAGTCTCAAGGTTGACTCAGCCTTCCAGCCTTCCAAGGTTGGTAAAAAGAAAATCCAGATTTTGGGGGACAATATGCTGACTCTGTAAGCTGCTTAGAGAGGGATGTAAAGCACTGTGGAGCGGTATATGAGACTAAGTGCTATTGCTATTGCTATTTTGCATCTCAGGCATTCGGTTACAATGGCAGCCATGATGTACATAAGCTGGTTTGTTTCTTGCAGTGAGCTGGTACTTCTAATTGATATTAAGATATTGGCATCTTTTAATACTTGTGCTGGCTGTTTCTTTAGAATAAGGGAAGGAACCTTCTGTTGCTTTTGTGTTGTCCTAGATGATCAGTTATTCTTTGTTTCAGTTCCTTTTGTTCAGTTAGAAAGCTTTGTTCTTTTAGAGGAGAAGGCAGAGGAGGTGATGCCTGGTTTGGGAATGAAAATGATTCAGTATGTATGCTGGTTTCTTCTACTCCGGCCTCCCCCTGGTTTGCCCCTATAGTCTGACTTATTTCAGGCAAGGTTTCAATTTGTTCGCCCTCGGTAGATCTTTGCCATCCTTCCAATTCTGCTTTTGGGAATACTTTATTTTTGTATTACAAATTGATATTGACCTGATAATCACTATTCTGTTATTTCTGATTCCGAATGCTGTTCTTTTCAGATGCTGTTCATCCTATTCTTGTTAGGCTGTTGATTTTTAATAACAAATTCTTTTTGTTTTCAATCTTTGTATATTCTTAACAGATAAATATTTTTTCTTCCGGTAGACCTTTGTCTGTTGACCCTAGTTGCTCAGCGAACAATACTATAGACCATTTGTCACCAGATATCTAGGAACTCCAACATATAGTATGGTCCTTGTTCACCAAGGTGATGAGATCTGACCAGTATGGTTGAATTTCTGACTTAGCTTTCACCCTCTTCAGAGCAGAATAGCAATAGCACTTAGACTTATTTACCACTTCATAGTGCTTTTACAGCCCTCTCTAAGCGGTTTACAGAGTCAGCATATTGCCCCCAACAGTCTGGGTCCTCATTTTATCGACATTAGAAGGATGGAATACTGAGTCAACCTTGAGATAGGTGAGATTCAATCTGCCAAATTGTAGGTAGCCGGCGGTCAGCAGAAGTAGCCTGCAGTACTGCATTCTTACCACTGCACCACCACAAACTCCACAACCACTTCACAGTGACTCTGGGCACTCAGAATAATCAAAGTAATTATAATTAACATCGATTTCTTTGAGTACATATACTAAATACATGTAGCTTATTCTTTAAAACCCAGTAACTAAATATATTAATATTAATAGTTAATAATATAATGTGATATAGCACATTTCAATATATTATGTATATACAGAAACACACAAAGTTATACACAGATATAGAGAGGGCTAAAATATAAACAGACCCCCCGCCCTCTTTTTTTTAGTACTGTGCATTGGTTTTAAGAAATCAATATATTCAATAGTAATTTGTAAGGCAATAAATAAAAGATAAACAGGAAAGGAAAAAGAAAAATAATGGTTGCTTGTAAAGGACTGTTCTACATAGCTTTCAACTTTAAGATGAATTGTGCTAGAGTTGCCTGGATATTCTGACACTGAATAAATTTACTGCATAACAAAAGCTTTGCATTTTTACAGCATGGACAAGATGATGATGTGTTGTTGTTTTTTCTTCATTTTTGTTTGCCTTGCCCTCCATCATTTATTTTTGTCAGTATAATGACTGTTTTTATATAAATTTTATTAAGTTTTAAAGAGAACATAAAAATGAACACAAACGGATACAGAATGAAAAAAAACCAAAGAAAAAGACAGACAAAAGGATTTGATTTTTTAAATTATAAAATAAATTCAGTAAGAATGAAGGGTTCCCCTCTATAAATACAGCTGTTATAAATGCAACGGTTGGTTGGGATGCATTAGTCATTAAGTGAACGCTGAGGTCATAAAGTTAATCAAATGTTTTGTTTGCAATGGGTGTTTTTTGCTGGAAACTGGAATTCCAGCAAAAAAAAAATATGTTGTAAATCTTAGCCATGTGAATGTAGGATGCTACAAACAGCCCTAAATGTGGACTGACTGCTGAGGGCTGAAAATGCAAACATGACCATGAAGGCAGCTGTGATTAGAACTTAATAAGTAGCCCTGGGGAGGTATGTTGTAACTGTAACCATTTGCTAAATGATCAGTCATAAAGTGTGGACTATATCTATTCAGTGATATAACACAAAGACTATTTTTTCTGCACACACTTTTGTAATGCCTTTTAAAAAAAATAAATTCTTCATACCTCTTTTGGGGAGGTTTGCACAGATGTGATTTTGAAGGCTGACAATGTTTGCTACTGGTATAAGTTTTTGCACAGTATAAACTATGAGAAAGTACTGACTAACCTGGCATGCAGTTTACACATGGTGATATCCTTGATTGTGAATGTTGTACAATCTGATTTTCTTTTTAACTCCCTTCCATTTTCATATTGTTAAGTTATTCATTAATCTTTTGAATATGCATTCAGTAAAACTGTTGGATGCATAAAACAGTATTTTGGTGTTACTGTATGTAGAAGAAAAATTTGAAAGTTTATTATAAAAGAATAAAATATGAATGTTATCCATTTACTCATTTTAAATAGGATTAATTTGTAACATTATAATCCTTCTTACTATGGTTATTATAGATTTAATTTTTTTCTTAACCTATAAAGATGACTCATGGAACTTGACAAGGATGTCTTTTGTTTCCATGTTTTAATTTGAAACTAAAACTATTGACTTTCCATACTAGACATCTGTTGTGGTAGATATAACTGGTAGCTGTAATACAGTCAAATATGTTTAATTCTAATGGCTTGTTATTTCATTGTTTGTCAGAAATTCACAGAAGCTTCACAGTAAAATGCAAAATACTTACATGCTTTGGATATTGGTTGGATGTCATCAAACATACTTGAATTAATTTTGATATAAAGCAGAAGGAACTTGTGTTTCTGAATAGGAAGTTATAACATTCATGGGATTGTGATGAGCAAATCTCACAATTTGATACCAATTAAATTGCTCAAACATGCATGCTTGTTTCTAATCCCTAAATTAATCTTCCCTGATGGGGTCCTGATGTGACTTGGAGGTCTTTGCCTTCAACAAGTTTGAACAAGATGTTTCATTTGAAAGTTGTGGGGGTTGGGGAGAAGAGAATGTAAAGAAAGCACAATTCATTACTTGGACCTGAATTTGACTAGACTTTAGAAGCTGAGATGACCATGTACAATTGTGTTTCTTTCTTTTAGCTGTGTAATTTTTAGGTTATTGAATATCCTACAAGTTGAAATTAAATAAAATGAAGGTATAGCTTGACCTTTTCAGTATATGACTTGGGCTAGGAAAGGAAAGAAACTATTAATTGCTTCTGAATAGCTATTTTGCATATGTTTCTTTATAAGACTTCTTCTGATGCTTTTTTTTTAATGGTTGAGAAGCATTTCTGAAAAGAAGATAGTAATAGATGGGCTTTATAAGGGCTACTAACAATATCCGTGTTTCTTATTTACTGAGGATTGCCATAAAATGCCTCAATAGTTGTCCTGTAAGGATCTTTCATGTGTTCTTTCTCTTCATTTATAAAGATAAACCTAGACAACTGTAACTAAATTTTAACTGGCACAATGTGACTATTATGGCTTCTAAAAATAACTTTTGTCATTGAATGCAAAATACTCTGAAGCTCTAGTGAGGAAATGTCTTCTTCCATTTTCTTTTAAGATGTCTTGTCACTTTCAATTGCAGTCACTGATTTACTGAATGAACAAAATTAGACTTTTCAACACAGGGTATATCTTTCATGTTTTGAATGGAATGGAACTAGAATCATTACACCCATTTTTATAAGATACTCCATATGTTGAAAAGTGAGAAAAATACCTGCTTCGATTCCTTGATGAGTCACTTAAAATGAATGGGAAGTGTGCTGTTTTGCTTGTATCCAATCAAGAATGCAAGGTTTTGGACTGGTGGCATTCTGACAGAATGTCAAGAGAATTTTTTACAAAATGAAGTGTGCTAGCTTGGTTTAGTAATTAAGACACCTGTTAGGAATGTAAGTCACTTAACAGTTGGGTTAGAAAATATATAAACCAGTATAGACATTTTAATATTATCTCTTTAAGGGAATGCTAAAATGGTAATTGGGTGTGGTTCCTCAAACGGCCATAAGATGGAGCCATAAACCTGGGTTGTTCTGTTCTGTTCTGTTCTGTTCTGGAGAGTGTTGCCATTCCTGCATTTCCCTATTGACTGTTACTGATCATCGTTATTCTTGGATTTGATGTAAGTCTGTTACTGAACTGTTTTTGATACTGGACTTTGTTATTTGGATTATACCTGGACTGAAAACTGACTGCTTTAACCATGAATGACTTGGACTGTTTGTTGGACTTTGCTGAACCATTTTACTGAAAGTAAAAACCTACATTTTACTACACAGTGTAGCTGTGTGCTGATTGTGTGTTATTCTTCACCACTTTCAATACGTCTCCCTGTGTGCGCTCATTCTCCTAACTGGGAATTACCTCAACAGCACCAGTATAGAAACTAGTGGTTTAGGCATAAAAGCCAGGTGGGTGACTTTTCACTTTTTCTCAGATCAACCCACTTCACAGGGTATTTACGGTGGGGAAAATATGAGGAGAAAGGACTTGAGTTATTATTCCCCAATACTGATTTCTTCTCCAGAATGCTCTATCCCATCGGATAAAAAAATTAACTGTGAAGTTTTATTTTATCAATTATATTTTTTCTGTTGTCTCACTAACCAACCTATCTATAGATTGAAGACAGCTGGAAGTCTTTACAACCTGCTTGCCTTTGTATGTGGAAGGTATAGATGGATTCATATTGACTTACAGTACTTGTTCCTAAAGCCTCATACAGCTTTTATATATGGGAAGGATTGTGCAATATTGTAATTCTCTGTATCTATCTGAACCTCCACCCCCTTTTCTGAATTCTAAGAGCAATTTTCTTCAGGCTATTGTAACACAGATACAGGGAACACTCAGAAGACTAGAAATGAGGGTTGGGAAGACCACTTGGTCTTGCCCAAGCAAAAGATAATTACCACCTTTGGGAACATGGACTTTCCCCACAAGTTCACATTTTAATATTGCTTTTCTCAAGCATTTAAAATTATGGTCCCACCTGACAAACCCAGGCACTTGCAAACCCCCATATGAATTTAATATTGCTCCATTATCTAAATTTAGATTTTTGGAAACTGTTGATAAGAATGAACCGGCTGCTAACATGGTTTCATTTCATCCACACACCTCGTAATTTGAAATCTGAAAATTCCCCAGGCAGATTTGTTTTTGCATTAGGCTTTTGAGATGTACGTCTAGTTCAGGCGTTTTGAGGAGAATTTTATTTGCTTTGTTTGTCTTGGTGTTAAGAATGCCCTTGGGTCACATTTTCAAGCTTCCCCCTCATTCAATAAAAATCAAAGCTTAGATTTTCAGGCAGTCAGCTCCTTTGTTGAAGCCAGAATGTAGAGCAACAACAAACATGCACAACAAATCCAGAGTAAAACACATCTCCTCTCATGAAGATGAATGTGAAAGTCCTGTAACTGAAACTCAAAAGGAGATGAAAGAGCTGCCATTCTGCCAATATATTTTCTATTAGCTACCTTTCTTGTAAATTTCATCTTTCTACCATTTTACTGTCTGCTTTATAAAATTTTATATCTTCTATCTCTCACCTTAGGTGCATTTCAGAATAAATTAGAAAGAAATAAGGTCTTTTCTAGCTCAAGATTCAGATGACAAAATCCAAAGAAAGTGACAAAAAGGTTTATGCTGTTGCTATATAGTCCACAAATACATCCATTCAGAGAAAACATCATTATCTGTCTTATGTTTGTGAATTCATTAACCTAGGAAGGGGTAAGATAATTTTGGCTAAATAGATTTACATCTTGTCT